ATATGCAGCCGGGTGTTAGTCATATTTTTATTCATGCATTATCATAAAAAACAAAATCTGCCTTCATTCTTAACCGTGCTGTCATTCTATAAACTGTATGTGCTACATTCCTCTCTCGCTCATCATCGAAGCTTATTTCTCACAGAGAATCGTTCTCAATTCTTGTAGCAATGCGCTGCAATTTCCGTATGAATTTCAACACAGGCATCACCTCTTTCTGAACGGTAAACTTTTGCGTGGTTATTATTCCTTTCCGTCGACAATGAACATCTGTCTACCTGAGAGCGCGAATTGATCCAGCCAATCGGGAGCCTGAAGCGTGGAGTGTTTATCAGTGTTTATCCACTCAGCTGGTCGCGTCCGCACTCTTCTCCGGGAGGCCGTGGCGTGGGGGTCAGACACGCGCTCTCGCCTGAATCAAGTCTTACAGGAGCCGCAATGGTAAGGGAGTCAGATTATGCTGTGTGGAATGAGCTTACAGATAGAGCGGAGGAGGCAGGGATAGGTATACAGAGAGGCAAGACAGCAGGCAGACGGATAAATAGAGAAAGAGACAAACCGACTGACAGACATGTATACAGACAGGCAAACAGGCAGACAGACAGATTGATTTCTGTAAATTTGTCCTCGAAAAGCTACGCCAAATATTCATTCATCCTAGCAGTAGTGGAGTGTGACCTTAAATATCTGTTCGCTCGTTCGTCCACGAGGAAGGCCATTGAGAGTGTTAAGATAAAGATAAGATGGACTTTTTGCAGGGATTCGGACGCATATGAAACATCAGGTCAGGAATCACCAAACAGAGAATCCGAAAACCAGTTATGTGTATATTTATAAACACACACGCCCACGCGCGCGCGCACACACACACACACTCACACACACACACCACACACACACACACACACACACACACACACACACACACACACATACACATACACATACACACACATACACACACACACACACACACACACACACACACACACACACACACACACACACACATATAATATATATATATATATATATATATATATATATATATATGTATATATATATATATGTATGTATATATGTATAAATATGTATATATATATGTATAAATATGTATAAATATGTATAAAATATATATATATATATAACAGACATTTTGTGTGTATAAATATATAACATACATATGTAAATATATATATATAATATATATATATATATATATAATACACATAATACATATAATATACATATAAACATGTACAGGCAGGTATATATATGTGTGTGTGAATATATGTATACATAGATATAGATATAGATACAAATTATTATACATATAAATAGTATGTATATATATATATATATATATATATATATATATATATATATATATATATATATATATATATATATATATATATATATGTGTGTGTGTGTGTGTGTGTGTGTGTGTGTATGTGTGTGTAAATTATATATATATATATATATATATATATATATATATTATATATATATATATATATATGTATATGTATATATACATATACATATGTATGTATGTGTGTCTATGTATATGTGTGGTTGCCCCTGCTATCGAGGGAACTGGGGAGGCTGAGAGTAGAGGTGGCTGCTCTCTCGGAGGTGAGAAGACCTGGCAGCGGCACGATCAGTGTAGGTGGGTAATATTAAGGTTACACCTATTACTGGTCGGGCCACAGCAATGGTCACCATCTTCAGGGAGTAGCCATTGCTGTCTCCAGTAGGCTCCAGCCTTCGGTGGTAGAGGTCACTCCAGTCGATGAGCGTATAATGGGAATGAGACTGAAGCTGTCTTTTGGCTTCATGTCTCTTATTGCTGTGTACACTCCTACCGATGTTTGTAAACTTGACGTGATCTGTGGCAGACAGTTGTCCCCGGCGAGATATTCGTATTGTTCTGGGTGACTTCAGTGCCGGATCTGGCTGTGATCGAGCTGGCTATGAGATGTCAGTCGGTCCTCATGGTTCGGGAGTTGATACCAGCAGCGAGAATTCCCTCCTTTTCCGGGATTTTGCAAGATCCCAGAAAATGAGGATTTCTGGCTCCTGGTATCAGCGCCCAGACCCACATCGTTGGACATGGTACAGCGATGCGGGTTATGCAGCCAAGGAGATCGACCACAATCTCGTTAGCACTCGTTGGAGGATCCTCCAGAACTGCAGGGTGTATAGGAGTGCCTTCAGTGGTACTGACCATAGATTGGTTGTGGCTACCCTCAGGGTTCACTTCAAAACTCCCCAGCGGCCCAATGACCACCCAAGGGTGTTTCATTTGGACAGGCTGAAGGAGAGGGAGGGTGCTTGGAGGTTTGCTGAGACAATCTCTGATCGGTTCACAGCGCTTGACAATCTGACGGACCCTGTTCTTCTGTGGGACACCTTCAAGCGCGAAACGCTTGATGTAGCCCAAGAATCGGTTGGAGAACACCCGAGAACAAGACAAAATTTAATCTCTCAGGAGACA